TTTTTGATTTATGCCAATCTGTACTTCTGAAGTAAACTTGATTACATAAGTAAATGTGGCTTAAAATATATACTCTCTTTTGATTATACAATATATTTATTTACATAGTTTTATTTTGTTAAATGATATTTCAATGGAATAAAGCCATGCACACACAAGACTTATAATATATAAACTAAATCTTATTTATTAATACATTTATATTATATTATATATGTTTGTAATCACATACGATTTTATTCAAATAATTCAGTTGCTTTGTTTCTTGTGAATAATGACATGAATACAATACTTACAATAATCATAACAAAGATATATATTCATTTTAATACAGAAATTAATACAATAGTACATATGTATACACATATATTTACATACAAAATGCCAATATTTATTGATACAATTGTATGCATTCTTGTTTACAATCTCTGAGTTCATTAAATATTTACAAATATTTTTACAACATTGTTGGACGTTGGTATGTTCTCGCTAAAAGGAATTTTTGCTTATCGAAATATGCTAAGGAGAGCAGAACTTTAGATTTTAAACAGTAGAGAATATAAGAGATATTTAAACTTCTACAACAATGCTCAAAAGAGCTGCCTTGCAAGCATATGCAAGGTCCATTCCAAAGAAAAGCTGATTGGTATATTATCACATTGATTATTTTTTATGTTGTTACACATATGTATATACGTGTATATCATATGTAAGCGTTATAAATTAATTTGGATTAGTAATTTGTTGTTAACAACTAAAAAAGTAGGTAGTCACATTTTTGTGTGCTCTTCAATTTCAGACTTTTCGAATCAACTTTCTTGAATCCATTAGCGGCTTCTATTGGTATGATTGGGTTATATCCATATACTTACTTTTCATCGCCGGTTATGGCCATTTCGGGCAAACCTGGACCACCATTGGCGTCATTCAAACACCTCTGAGCGATACTTATTACACTTTCCTAAATTAAAAATCGAAGATCAGCCAAAAAGGTGAGTACCTTTTCAGTGGACAACAAAAAATTAATTATCTAAATTAACTGATGACGCTAAAATGTGATAAGAATATGTATACCGACATAAAAAAAACCCATAATCCAATGTACACAGCCTGCGAAGTTTCAAAATTTATTAATTCACCTTGCTTACACGAGGAGCGTTAATTCGTGCATAATTTTGGGTGCTGGCTTATTCCTGCTGGTTATTTCAGTTTTGCTTTCTGGCATATATGCAAACGGTTCGAAATATAAATTCAAGGGTATTTTTAACATCCCATTTCTTCATCATATCATCTTATGTTCCCCTAAACCTTTTCTCCCACCCGCTTAGACACACCTTTTTATTTGTACTTTGTATGTAGGAAATATAAGCCGTGTATATTTCATATTCTTTTCGAACAATTTCATACCTTTCATGCTCATGAAATGGTATATTAGCATTGGTCGGGAGGATGTAAGCACCAGCAAGAGAAGAGATACCCTCACCAAAACTAATACCAAAAATGATCAGAATGACGAGTTGAGTTGATCTAGCCGTGAACGGTCTGTTCGTCTAATCCTCAGTTTATGAGATATACATATGAAGTGTCGTATATAAATGATCTTTGGGCGCCACATATGTCAACTTTTTTGTGTAATCTTCGAAACATGCCTGGTAGCCGTAGCCCGGGTCGCCTTTAGTTCCATCTGCGAATTTCCTTTTACGGCCTCAATCGAGTCGAAAGTTACACGGGGTGGTAACTTAAGTTTTGGAAACAAAAAAATTACATGGATCCCCATCCGTTGAATACGGTGGTTGATCGATGATATTGAATAATTTTAAGAAACAAAATGTTTCTTGTTAAGAGGCACACCTAGTGTGAAATTTCAAATTTTTTAGATTGCACCTTTAAAAATAACATATTAAAATTCCCAAAAATCACCTTTTGTTAGGCCATTACACTAGATGTGCCCCTTTAAATGCTAAAACCGAATTCGTAGTGTTTTTCATTTGACATTATTCACTTTTCAAATTGGCAATACGAATATAAAAAAATGAGAAGGTCTCAGTGACTAGGCTTTTAACTAATTTCGTTGGTCAAGTTCTCAAGAAATTATTGAATACCGCATATGGTTTTCGAGCAAGGTTTATAGAACACAAGGTTACGACAAAAGCGGAATCATATGTTTGATGACGCAGTTGGTTCAATTTGGGCTGCCGAAGACTTTAATATAAATTTTCATAATTTTATCTATAAAACAACTCAACATTTTGACTGTTAGATTCTAAAGCCTTGAATCAAATTGTTTTAGAATTGATAATAATCTTACTTTAAACGTTCTGAATAATTGTATGTCAAGCAAATGTATTTTAATTTCCAAATAAATTTAAATTAAAAAAATTAATAATATTTCTTAGCAAAAATTTCTACACCTAGGAACTCTAACTTTTATGTCTTGTAATACGAATGGCATGAGAAGATAATGTCAGTAAGGTTAAAAATTGTCAAAATTCCAAGCAAACGCGCATTTTTATAAAATATTTAATATAAAAAAGATTTTTGCATATTTTTTTATCTTTTGAAAGGCTTTTGCGAAATGGGCGTTGCTTATCATGTGAAAAAAAAAAAAACATTTTTAAAAATTCGAATCGGTGAAAAAACGGGTTATTGCTGATAATAATTAAAAAAATAACTAATTTTTATTAAGTAAACTACGAGGCCTTGTTGTTTGTATGAATCGAATACTTGTTATACAACAAAGAAAAAATGGTAGAAGTGACAGCTGTTTCGGAAATCACCACGTCTCCTCATCAGACTTCTTATGGCAGGGATTCATTCATGAGTGATTCATATTAATATTTTCAATAGATTAACAATAAGATGCGATATTACAGCAGATTCGTTAACCGTTTTATGAATTTTGTGATTTAAATTTTTAAGCTGGAAACTTGAAATTTTGATGTTAAGAAAATCGTATCGTTAAATATTAATATAATATAACATTTGCTTATGTCAGAAGGAAATATTTAATTTTTTGACTGGTACTTAGGTATTATCGCCACCGCGGTGTACCTTTGTGTAAGACTCTTATTCAAAATTGGTAGTCTGCGGCTAGCCGGACCATGGTTTCATCAAAACAGGCTACGCCTTGCAACTTGTACATGAAAAAAATCGCCAAAAATAAGTGCTTTCTTTTGAATAAGTTTTTTCACAAAATTATTTTACTAACATCAAATACATATATATTTTCAAAAGGAAAAAATTAATTTTTTTTTATAATATACATATCAAGTCTGGCGCACTGTTTATATGACGAAGGTTGTTTCCGTGACGCCTTCGGTTGTCGTAACCTTGTGGTCTATAAACCTTGTCTTTTGAGGAATATTATTTTCTGTTTCAATACATTAAACTTTTATTTATTTAGAATATGTTTTTATTTAAAGTAATTAAAATTAAAATTCTATGGAAATGAAGATTTTTTATACAAAAAATGAGAATACCTTACATTATTTGTATTTAAAAACTTTTTCATAATAAATAAAGGAAGGAAAGGAAAGCTTTATACTCAAAGGTAAATATTTGATACTTGTATATATATATATATATATATATATATATGAGTGTGTGTGTGTGTTTGTATCTATCCAAGGAACAAGAAAAGTAACTACTGTGTAATACCTTGTTAAAGATTTTCTTTAAATCTGCTAAGTTATCTCAATTTTATCGTAAATTGTTTTATTTTAAAAAATTTTTACAAAATATTATTTAAAAAAAATTATAAAATTTGATATGGTTTGGGTTTGTTAATAAATTGTACAAAGGTTACAGGTAAACACGTGTGTTTTTCTTTTAGTCACAAAAATTATACATAGTTACATATATACTCGTATATCTAAGTGTATTCTCGAAGTAGAACATATGGAGGAGGAGCTCGGCTGAAAATCGCTTCAGCGCTTACAAAGTGCTAATATGTTTTCTCTTTAAACTTTTTAATATATATTTTTTTTACATATTTCTGCTTTTTACTCTGCATATTGTTACAAGCTTTTCACACTTTTTTTAGCATCCTGAATGTGGTTATAACATTTACATTAGGATTATCCGAAAAAAAGGTTACTACGCAAATTTATATGCAATAAATTTGAAATTATTCCAAATATTCAAGGGTGTCGCCAAAGCTAGAAAATTTTAAAGCATTTGATATGAATTAAGGATCTCTTCTATAAAGGCTTTCAAATTAAAAACAATCGTTAGCTATTTATTATTAGGCAAAAAAACATATTTTGTTTTACGCGCTTTGAATTTAATTTAATTTTAAACAAATCTATTTCGAAACAAATATAATACTTATTGAAATGCCTCTGCAATCTGTCTTGCTGTGGTCAAAACACATCGAGTTTCAAAAACCAAAATTTTTGAAGCTCATCTTAATGTTTATGTATGCTAAGTTAAACTTATATACAGATATGGTACAACTAGATGTTCATATGTCGAAAATTTATACGAAAACTCGTTACTTTGTTTTGGAAATTATTTCATATTTTGCTGCATATGTCTGTATGTATTTCTTTTTACCGAAAAGGTTGTAAATTTCCTGAATCTTATTTCCACATGGTTGGGTTATAAAAAATATGCACTTTAAATATGTCATTTTGATAATAAATGGTACAAGCTCTTATACACTTAAATACATAAATATTTTCATAAAATATTTCTAGAGATGCACATGAAACATGTACGAAATGTAACAATTTCTGTGTATATACGGATGTGTGTATTCACAAAATTAAGTATTTACATATGAACATTTTATAGCTACTAGTGTATGTATTTAGGGATATTTGTAGCATGGGTGCATTTCCTTGTATTGTAAGCTGCCTTGGATTTGCCATCACTTTGTTACACCGCATATATTGTACATAGTTGTTTTGTTTTGCGTCTCTTCCTGATTATGCTTTCTACAAATTTACATTTATTTAAGCTGTTATGCCTGCATGTATAGCTTTCTTTCTGGATCTGCCTTACAATAGCCTCTCCAGATCTTCACTTTCGGCTTCGCTGGTAAAGGAATCTGTGTCGGTAAAGTAATCATCACCCCGATTTCGACGACAACATGCACGTCGACTGACCTCATCATCACTCCAGTGTTCGAATTCCTCTTTGTGGTGTTCGAGTATCATTAGCGATGGAAAGAGACTATCGCAGGCATTGCAGCTAGAAGAAAGTGAAAAGGTTTTATTGGAATTTTTTTGTTTGCAAAACTCTGATTAAATTTGATATGACATCTGATATACGTTATCGTCTACATATATTTTAAAGCATAAATTTTTGCATTTTGTACGTAGCTTTAAGCAAAGAAACTTAAGAGCACGATTTATAAACCTAAAAAAATATTACGACACAAAATAAAAAATAAATAGTATAAAGTAAAATTAAATAAAAAAAATTAAATAAAAAATAAATAAATACAAAAAAATAAAATAAATATTAAAATACAATAAATTATAAAAAAGTAAAATTTAATAAAATCAAATGAAATAAAAAATATAAATTAAAAGAAGTAAAATTATATAAAGTGAAATGTAATAAAATTAAATGAAATAGAAAACATAACATTAATATAATTTAAATTAAATAAAGTAAATAAAATAAAATAAAATAGAACATATAATTTGAAAAACAATAAAATATAATAAAAAAATATATTAAAGTAAAATGAAACAAAATATATAACTAAAAAAATAAAAAAAAATAAAATAAAATATATAATTTAAAATACATTGAAATATATTAAAATTAAAATTATAACATTAAGTAAAGAAATATAATATAATTTATTTCATTATTAAACAAATTGAAATTAAGAAAATTAAATTAAAAAATTAAATTAAAAAATTAAATAAAAAATTCAAAATTAATATAGTAATGTAAAAATTCTTGAGGAAAATAATAAAGAAAATAAAATAATAAAAACTTAGCTAAAAAATTTAAAATAAATAAAGCAAAATGAAATATAATATAATTTATAATTTAAATTTCAGTGGAATATAATAAAGTAAAACGAAATAAAATGAAAAATACACAATACAATGAAATATAATAAAGTAAAATAAAATAAATAAGAATAAAATATTTCATAAAAAAAATTGAAACAAATAAAGTAAAACGAAAGAAAATAAAACTAAAATTTAAATTCCAAAGAAATATAATAAAATGAAATAAAATATGAAATAAAAAAATTTTATGAAAATTATAAAGTAAAATAAAATAAATAAAAATAAAAACATAGTTAAAAAAATTAAAATAAATAAAGTAAAACGAAATAAAATAAAAAAAAAAACTAAATTATATAATAAAAAAATCACAAAACAATCAAATATAAAAAGTAAAATGAATAAAAATTAATAAAAATTAAATAAAATTAATAATTTAAAATACATTGAAATACATTAAAATAAAAAAAATAAAAATAATAAATAATATAAAATGCTATATAAAATAAAATAACTTTCTTTACGATTAAACAAATTGAAATAAAAATAAAAAATTAAAATTAATAGAATAAGAAGAAAAAAATAAAATATTTAATTTAAAAATACATAATAAAAAAATGAATTAATAAAGTAAAACGAAATAAAATGAAAAATACACAATACAATGAAATATAATAAAGTAAAATAAAATAAATTAGAATAAAATATTTCATAAAAGAAAATTGAAACAAATAAAGTAAAATTAAAGAAAATAAAACTAAAATTTAAATTCCAAAGAAATATAATAAAGTGAAATAAAATATGAAATAAATAAAAATAAAAACATAGTTAAAAATTAAAATAAATAAAGTAAAAATACAATACATAATAAAAAATGAAAAATTCACAATACAATGAAATATAATAAAGTAAAGTATAAATAAAAAATAAAAAAAAAATTTATGAAGTAAAATAAAATAATATAAGAAAAAAAAAATCAAGCGAAAATAATAAATAATATAAAATGCAATAAAATATAATATATAATTTTATAAAGTAAAATAAACTAAATTAGTAAAAAAAGGAAAAAATAAATAAAAAAAATTAAGAAAATAATAAAATATATTGAACTAAATGAAAAAAAAAAAGATTAAATGAGTTAAAAGTCAGTAAGTACTTATAACTATTATATACATATATAATTGGCGCTTTGTAACCGCTGAAGCGATTTTCCGCCGAGCCCCTCCTTCAATTTAAGGTTTTGCGCCTTTATGTTTTCCCAACAAATGGAGGGACCTACAGTTTATACTAAGCCGTCTCCGAACGGCTGTTAGTTTTTTTATGAGGAGCCTTTATTTCATGTCCGAAATACAATCGGAGGGATTGACAGCCGAGGTGCGACCGAAATTAGACAACTTAATTTAATTTTTTATTTAAATTAATTTTCTATAACTTTTGGATGTGGGTCGCCCTGGGATTTGAATCCGAACCTTCCGAATGGTAACCACTCGACTACCGCAGCCGCCAACTAATAGTTATTAGCGCATTAATAATTCCAGTATTCAAAACCTTAAAACAAAACAATGCGACAATATACAGAATAAATGAAATAATGCGAAGCCAGCTAAATTTAATAGGTTATGCAACAGCACACAAAAACAAACTCTCATATTCTACCAAATGACTAAATTCATTATGCAAACTTAATGATAATAATTCAAAAAAGGAATCTCATTATGAGACATACAAACTAGATCACCATCATTATCGCACATTACAGATGCGATTTCCACTAATTTCAATAAATTACTATGCATCTTCATCAAAACAGTCATTATCATTACCATCATTCTTCAAAAGTGAAAGGAAGTAAGAGTCTACGCAGAAGAAATTGAACAAAGGAGCACAACAAGATGTCCGCTAAAATTCACGAACTGACCAACGTAAGCATTCACCACCATCAAACTCTTGTTGAAAATGTTTCATTCTTAAGTTAGTTGTCCGAAATGTCCGCTGAGCACAATTTTGAATTATTTCTTCCTGCTATTGTCTCTTTGCTCTTACAATGGCTAGTCATTAGCATAATTACGAAGCAAGTCATTAGCAATGGGCTGTAATTGTATATGTGAAAAATACATTGCTAATTACTACAATGAATAATTTTCTTCTTATTCTTTTTATTTTCAAGCCTTCAGAATATTTTCATCAGCGATGAAATGTAGAAAAACAACTTCTCATGAAAAGCTAACGGCTCTTAAAGAGGTATCAAAACTGGATTGCCTCTCATACTTATAATGGAGAATTTGAAAGTTTTCCTTGCAAAGTAGAATGTACTAAGCCTTCCATAAATAACTAGGTACTACCACGTTAATAATGTATTGGGTGTGCGGTTTTCTAAGAGAGGGCTCTACTAGTATTATTTCGTGTCAGGTTCATCTGTGGCTATATTCATTTCAAAGGTACTGTCATTTCTTCGTTTGTTTTAGCGAGAACACCAATTTGTTTCATTTATATGAAAATGTCGAAATTTGTACCAGATAAAGTGTTTTTACTTTAACATGAAGAAAAGTGCTACCGAAAGCCGTCGTATTTTACTGGACGTTTATGGTGACCATGTTCTAGCCGAACGAACATGCCAAAAGTGGTTTGCACGGTTTAAAAGTGGCAATTTCGACTTAGACGACGGAGAACGACCCGGGCAGCCAAAAAAATTTCAAGACGAAGAATGAGAGTCATTGCTCGACGCAGATGAATGCCATACGCAAGAAGAACTTGCATAACTATTAGTAGTTGATCAATCAACCGTTTCCAGATGATTAAAATCATTTCTTCACAATAACATCTTAATTTTCGAAACCGCACGAATTCATACATACACCAAATATCAATGGATAAACTTTCAGCTTTCTCAACAGAGCCGAAAGTTTTAAATTTAAATTGAAATGAGTGCATCAAATAGTAGTCCGATGGCGTTAAGTCTGGTCCATAAGCTTTATAAGTGTGAGACCCGGCATTATCGGCATGACCCACCACGATTTTTGCGATTGGACCGTTGAGTGTATATTTATTAGATGTATCCCTACAATTCCAAATTCCAAAAAGCATGAATATTTCATTTGGACTTAGCTTGTGGATACTTGGTTGGTCGATAATCGTTATTGCACTACCTTTTTGTAAACAATTAAACTTGCATCACCCATTGTGACTATTCAGCAAATAATGAAATATATACGTTAGAGCGTTGACTAAGTGCGATTTCCTCGAATCTTCGGCATTCAGCTTGTGCACCGAATTAAGCTGTTCAAGTTGAAGGCACATTGGAGCTTTATGACTGCTTGCATAACTCATTCGCGCAATTCGCGCATTGAATTTTGTTGTTTAACCAGCATATGGAGGGCTCTGGAGCTTTCATATGGCCTCCGTAAGACTGGCATGTTTTCGTGAGAAGCTTTTTCTTCAAATCAGAAATAAGCTTAGATCAGTTGGTATCCACTGAGAGAGGTGATTAATAACTTTTTCTATTGTTGGGATATTGAAGCGACCACAGAACTGCCGTTCAGTAAGATATTGGCAGAAAATAAGGAAAACTGTTTCATTTCTAGTGTGGTTCTGGCGAAACGTCTTTAATAGGCGCCAATTTTTTTCGCATGTTTTCTAAAGAATAAGTGAGCCGTTATTGCGGCCGCAGGTGTATACGTATATATTTTTCCTCAGCCAACTTATTCGATCCTTTGTTTTGGGCAAAATCTATTTCGTTAGCTTCTTAATGTTCGTGCTGTTAGGAACGCAGATCCTGGAGATGGCGACTAGACCATTATAAAATTCTGTATTCTTTAGTAGTTTTCCATTAAAGCCTTTTCTTTACCCAGTTTGGAAGACAACAGTTGAACTTATTAGATGCTAAGAGATGGACGGCGGCCGCGGTAGCCGAATGATTAGCATTGTGTACTGCCATTCGATAGGATAGGGTTCAAATCCTGGTGCGACCAACACCCAAAAGTTACAGAAAATTGATTTATACTAAAAATTAAGCTTAATTTTCTAATTGCGGTTGAACCTCGGCAGGGAATCTCCATCCCTCTGAGTGTATTTCTGACACGAAATAGAGACTCCTCATAAAAATACTATCAGCCGTTCGGATGCGGCTTTGTATAAACTGTAGGTCCCTCCCTCTATTGGAAAAACGTCAAGACGCAAAACCACAAATTGGAGGAGGGGCTCAGCCGAAAATCGCTCAGCGGTTACCAAGCGCTAATTATATATACATATATATAAGATGATGAAGATATTGGGATCTTTGCAGAATACCCCCGCCTCTATTCTGCAGATCACTTTGGATTGTAGATTGTACATTGAGATGACATTTTTCTATTCAACAAAACCTCTTCTTTATTCATGTCTAGAAGGAACTATCACCTAGCGACAATTATTAAAATCTAACTTTGGTGAGACACGATCTGATTTTTTTATTGGTTTTGTTAGTTCGATAAGTTTTTCGTTGTTCCAACAACCCCACTTTCTAAGTTCAACAGGGGAGTCATTGGCAGGCAGCTTTGCTAGTGAGGAAGGTCTATAGGAAGTTGATACAAGGCTCTGATAAGTACATCGGTAGGATTTGGATTAATGGCTGCTGTAACTTCTACTACTTTTTGTGCTGAAACCTCTAACTGAAGCTCCAAAAGTTAGAATGGTTCTATAATAGCATCCGCATACAAAACTTGGGTGAAAGGTCCAGTTACTGACATATATTCTCTCGTATATGCAATAGGTCACATATGTATTCGTTATAAGTTGTTCGATATTTATTTTCCAGGTCTGGTATCAATCTCAACTCCCAGATATTGATTGAGTGATAGAGAGTTTGTTGAGCTTTTGAGTGTAAGAAGCTGAAATTGTGGTACCTTGACTTTATTTGTGAATACGGGCATTAAAACCATTGTCGTAAGGTTCTCGCCATAATTTCTTGGACTGTAGAAGAAACAGCTCTTATACCATTAACAATAAATCTCCCTCCCGTGGGAGGAACTACTATTTTCTTTAGCACCGCTACCTATACAAGAAAAAATACCTCCTTGAGACGTCTTTCTGGTGACGTAGATTGATGGCGAAGCTTAGTCGCTACATCCTTCTATTTAAAGGCATCAAATATCTTTATCTGCAAGCTCTTTTCGTCTATGCCAAGGCTTGCTCTCTACCTGGAGAAAAGATTACATTGTGTATTGCTTCTGCTCTAATAAATTTTATATTTTACTCATTCCTGCGCGTGGGGCATTTGCGATAGATCGGCACTGGTATGCCTAAGTGTAAAAGTTTTAAAATAAGGCAATGTGAAAATAAACACCGATACATAAGCCCTATAAATTAGGTAAATTTTCTTATCGTTCAATTTTTTCCAAACCTTCTTCACCAGAAAATACTTACCCAAAATGCCGCTTTTTCTGTTGATGGGATGCCAATTGTCTATGACAATGGAAAGCTCTATCACAAACATTGCATGTCAGAGATTCATCTGTCGGGAAGAGAAAACAAATGCACCGTTATTTATATGCAGAAATAACAAATAAGATACAGGGTGCGCCATATGGATATATTCTTTTTCAACGTTGAATAACTCCACCAATTTTCAGCCAATTTTCACAAATGAACAAGATTTTTTTACGATATTCTATGCCATTTATTTCAAACCAGGTTTAGAACACAAATTCGATTAAATGACCACCCCTATTTGATACACAAAAAGCAGCTCTTTTGCGGGCATTCTGCATAACATTGGCCAGCATTTCGGGTGATATCGCAGCTATTTCAGCTCGTATGTTAGCTTTAAGTTCGTCAATGTTCTTCGGCTTGCTGGCATAATCTTTACTTTTTAAATATCCCCACAGAAAAAAGTCTGGTACCGTTAAATCCGGAGAACTTGGAGGCCATTCCATATCACCATTTTTTGAGATAACGCGTCCTGGGAACTTGCTCTGCAAAAACTTGATCGTAGCGGCTGCGGTGTGGTAAGGTGCTCCGTCTTGTTGAAAATAAAAGTTTTTAGACCTTTTTTCTGCATTTATTGACAGACAAAGTGCGCCAAAATCCAACGGTAGCGTGCACCGTCAATGGTCTTTCCAATTGAACGATCGTCTTCAATGTAAAGCGCTACGATTTCAGCGCGTTCTTTCGGTTCTTTCGGTGTGTAGCTAAAATGGCACTGAATGACGTTTCAGAATTGTGTTTCAAAATCGGCTGAAAAATGGTGGAGCTATTCAATGTTGAAATAGGATACATCTAGATGGCGCACCCTGTATTTTGCACAGTATATGCTCTCAGCTAAAATATTCCAGGCCAAAAATATAACCAGTAAATATTGTCCGCCAGCTTGCTTATTATTAAATAACTCTTACTAATATAGGGTTATCCATTTCGTGACTTTGTAAGTACAGGGATGTATTTTGACATCAGCCTAATTTAAATGCTAAACCAAACTTATGTTATTTTTGTTAATAGTCAGGCATTTATGAAAATGGATCCCACAAAACCCGACAATGTCTTAGAACTGTTAAAACCTGCTGCAAAAGTAGTGGTTTAAACCTAATAAATATGAATAGACTGTAGGTTTCATATAACGGGTTATCCAAGTAGAGGTAATTTCTCCAATAGCCTTTTTTGACAGATCATGCGAGTCAATACTGTTCTGCATTTCATCACGGGAAGATTTACGCCTGAAAAGCGTTTACAAATCGCTCAACTTTATTACGGAAATTCACGTTCTGTAAGAAATGTCTTTCGCGCGCTTCGCTCCACTTATGATCCACATAGTCGGCATACTAAGGGTACTAGTTGCCAAAACATCAGCCATCTTGAGACCCAACATTCATTATTAGGCAATATTCGACCGAATAGACCACGTTCAGCACGCCATGAAGAAAATATAACGGCCGCAGCTAAGAGTGTACACGAAGATAGCGGAGCGCCGATTCGGCGCCATACGCAGCAACTCAGACTGACGTATGGAACGACTTGGCGTATTTTACTTCAAGATCTTAAATTAAAAGTCCACAAAATGTAGCTTTTGCAAAAACTGAAGCCGCTCGACCTTTCCAAACGACACCTCTACGCTCTATGGGCTCTTGAAAAATTCCAGGAAGATCCGATGTTTTCGAGCCAAAATTTGTTCAATCTGGCTGCATGGGTATGAAATCAAGCAAGCTTGAAACATTTGGGACGAAGGGCAAATTGAAGAGATTCAAGGCTCGTCATTTCATAGAAAAAAGGTTTGGTGTGGTTAGTGGGCCGGTGGGATCTTTGATTCATATTTCTTCAAAAATAAGGCTCGTAATTTATTGAGAGAACACATCGATGAGCAGATAATTTCTCGTTTTGAGTCGGCGGATGGGTCTCACCAACACCGGATCATCTGAAACTCAGCCGCTGAAACTCAAACGATAGAATGTTCTTTCGACCGGTAGTAAACAATCCCCATTAAATTTGAATTTTCTGCGTTTTTTCTTTAAAAAAAAACGTAGGGAACCTCGAAATGAATCACCCTTTATTGTAAGGCTTGTGCATCATAATTTTCCACATTCCAACTCAAATAGCGCTGCAGTAATAGAAAGTGTAGCCGAAGCCCAAAAATGACTATTTTAAAAAGCCTTGCCTTGGTCCAGTGGTTTAACTAGACTTTAATTCTCTTAGCCTGCAACTGATTGACACGTCTTGGGCAATTTATGCTCTTTTTGAGAGATAGTGCCACACTCCACACAATGCGCGTGAACATAGCTTTATTTCAAGAGAAATGTCCTAACTGCGAGATCGTTCGAATTGGGACCGTTCGACGAATTTTTTTGTGGGGCTACGCGAAAGTCCATTTTATGCGGATGAACCTTAAAATCTTGAGTACCTGAAAACCAACATTCGATAATTTATGGCTCAGATGCCGCACGCATGTGTGTCGAAAATTGCGTCTAACTGATCGAAATAAACAAAAATTCCTGAGGCGGTCATTTGAATGGCTGAGGGTTTCACCTATAATGTCAAGATTCAAATATTATAATAAAAAAGGAACTTCATAACAAATATAATTCAAATGAAGTTTATTTCGAAACTGCAAAATAGATAACCCTATTGATATCATATTATTGAGTTATTATATTATCTCTGTTATAATAGTTATAAAACCCTGAGTCATATGCTCTATAGAATAATAAGGTATATAACTATGAGTTAAACCGCTAAGAATAACAGTAAAATAATAATTTAATAAAAAATAATAAATTGCTTTTTTAATCTTGGGCACTATTTCTAACTATGCTTTAGCTGGTAAGCTTCTGAAAATTCACTACAATAAATAAAAACCGTAATTTTCAATTTTCCATTATTTTTTCCAATTATTTGCAAAGGAGAATTTGCTTTCCAGCTACATTTCTCATTATTTATAAAATCATTTTTTTTTCATTTTATTTCCCAATATATTTTCAATTCTTTGTTATTTTTGTACTTTTGTACTTACCATAATCATCATCATCTGACATTGCCATCGCCTGCAGTCGGTTTATAGTATTCTCATTGACTTCTTTTTGTCTTTGCATTGCGGATGAATTTGATTTTGAAGCGCCACTGCCCACGCCCACGCCCACGCCCATACCAACAGCTGTACATAAACCCGTCGCATCGTCCAGATGACACACACCGCCATTTATGAAATTTCCCTGACAATCGGGCAGTGTACATGGAATCATGCTACCATTAGCAACAGCTTTTCCGTCAACCTCCCCACCACCACCAGCACAGCCGCCTCCGCCATCTCTCGCATCAGCATGTCCATGCGGACATGTACCGATGCCATTACCGTTGATGTTGCCGTTGCCGTTGCCGTTGGCGTTGTTGTTGCTGTTGCTATTGCTATTTCTGTTACTGCAACCGCTGCCTGAAGTTATTATTTTGAAATTATCAAACTCATCGAAGGGATCATCGATTTTGTGCTTTTGCTGTGAACTGTCGCCATCCGAATCGGCACTGAGGCGACCATAAGCCTTACGGGGTGGCCGTTTCACGTATTTATCTGGAAATAAAAAAGGGATCATTATCGTTAGTGTAAATCCAAAGTAGTGTGTGCGGAGAATTGGTATGTACTTATCGTTTAAAAATATATAAAGGAGGTTTCGATAATTGGGCAGAGCACAGATGTAAGTAAGTAGTACGAGAGTGGCAAATATTTTAGTATGTACTATGTAAGTGTGCATGTTTTTATTGAAGCAAAATTCTTTTAAGGGTTCACACAAGTAGGTGGGAGAGTATTTGATAAAATCTGGTTTTGCTAAAAAATAATATGAGGGTATTTTAAAACGGATTCTGTGATGGGTTTAGGTGTGTGCTTGTGTGCGCTTAAACGCAACGAAACGATTTTCATTTATTTATTTTTTTTATACCCGGAAGCCTTTAAGCTTTTTTGAAGATTGACTTTTATACTTTAGGCACGAAAAAATAAATAAATCCTTTAACTTGACTAAAGTTGCTAAGGCTGAAGAAATAGTAGAGGCTGTGGTAGTGCTTATTAGAGGCTTATTTTAGGATCCATGAATTTACTGAAGACCCAGATGTGTTTAGCTTAATAGTATATGTCTTTGAGTTTGATAAATAAATGATTCTTCAATGGATCCTCAATAATTTATTCGTGACATAGTACATATGAGTATATCTATTACGTTTGTTTCAAGGTATTTGAGTATTAGAAGAAAAAGTGATAGACTCTACAAAATTTATACCGATTGGATCAAAATGACGATTTAGCTCGTTTTAGGCCAATTTATTTGTCTGTTTGTACGCAATCTATTCTCACAATTTTCGATATTTCAACCAATCTTGGTATACAAATAAACTTGAACTGGATGCGTCCAACGGGGTGGAGACTTTCCTCTTCGGAATATTTTCAAAACTGGTGTATTGCTATCCATCGAGACCACGTTATCTACCCAGTGCAGTCGCTGTTTCTCGATTGGCTGAACTATGTCAATGTCGGATACCTCGTATTGTTTCGAACGGCTCGGAGAAGTCCTTCACAATTATTACTACGCTTCTGGTAAAATTCAACAAATCTTAATGTATAAATCGGAGTATTGTATCATATAGCCCCTTTAAAGAACTCTGGTATTTTGGTATTTCAAGGATGGAAATATGTCAGTTCGCCTCGCAATGGCCTCTCGTACTCGTATACCTTATTCCGTGTCGGTAATTCCGTACACCTCAAGCAAATTTGCAAGACTTGGGAAGTTGGTCTTTTAAAATAGAATACCAAATTTCTTTATTTTTAAATGATTTTTCAGGTCCTTGTTCTGTTGAATTTTTATTTTAATTTTTTTCTGGGTTTTTATTTTTATGGAACTGTTTTAGCCCATATATTTTTGGGAAATAGTGAAAAAATTACACCAAAAGTTTTGGATGGTAGAAGTTGTAGCTGCTATTTCGGAAACCACTACGTTTCGTTATCAGACTTCATTTTCCAGACATATTTTTGTCGGATTGGATTCGAAATTGGTATGCCCCAGCACGAGCCAAGGGTTATCCTATTAAGCTACATATATGCCGCTATTACTTATTGTTGTTTTCCACATTTTCCCTATTACCTATAAATCCACAGTCAAGTGCTCAGATATTCTGTAGCTGTAAAACTTGGCACGATTTAGTTGTTCTTGCAAAGAATTAACCAACAAAAATTTGAAGGTAACCCCCCCCCCCCCTTTTATTATTTTGGAAAATTTCATTCGCACGGTACGGCTCTTCCGTAATTCCTAGATGATTATTCAGGTCACTGTTCTATTAAATTACAATTCGTTCCAGATAGGATAGTGGAGATCAAACAAAATCCTGGATGGAAAGTGTTAACCTCCGAAAGAGTTCATTGTTTTAGGAAAGAACGTTTTATATGTAAAGTTCCGAGTTTCCCCATAAGGTTCTTCTACCACCGCTGAGTTTGATAAAGCAATTTGTAAGGTCAGTTTGAAAACAGTGGATATTGCTTGTCATCATAATAGAAAATTTCCCAGATCTCTAAGAAGCTGAGTTGAATAAACACACTTTCTTTGGACCTGGTATTAGATGGCATATGGCTGACTTACAATTCATTACAACCATAAACTTTAATGTACCGTAAGATCGTAGAGAGCTATCTAAATCGTCAAGAAATATATACATTCGGGTCTTCGGTTACACTAACATTTATATATAGTTTAGCGCTTTGTAACCGTTGAAGTGATTTTTGGCCGAGCTCTTCTTTCAATTTGTGGTTTTAGCTTTCGTTTTTGGACTCAAACTCTGACCTTCCGAACAACAGTACGCAATGCTAACCACTCGGCTACCGTGGCCGCTTACAGTAGCGGTATTTTAGGTCGAACCAGCAACACAATGACGCACAGACCTTGCAATATCTAAAACCGATTCAGTTTCTTCAAATTTCTTTACAATTTAAGCAGCTCTTGGGTAGTTGGACGATAATCTTACCTTAAAGCAGGAAACATGGTCACGTTTACACTACCGTCTTTGTAATAGTTTTTAACAATTTTAACGCAATGTTCGATTGTTCGAAGAACAATTTTCACAAATGCCGGACTTCTAACAAAACCAAACATGTTTAGTTTTAAAAGTTAAGTTTGATAGGTGTCAAAATACAACTTGTGATATTGAAACCTTGAAATCGATCACCCTTTATATTTATATATTGGATTTATATATGAAACGGTACAACAAAGCCTTCCGCTAATATTCCTTTTTTGTGTGTTGTGAGGCCGAAGTCGTCAGGATCAGATAAATATTTATTTACTGCCTTACATATGTTTGCATTTGCAAAGCTATTATTTGCGAACTTTCTGCAAAACAACTAAGGTTATATAAAAAGGGGACACAGTTCAACTTTATTGCAAGCTAGTTTTATTTTATTGCTTGAACGTGAGCTAAGGATATCCAATTATTGTATTTTATTTTTGCTAAGAAGACTTGTAGTATGTTGAAATATTCGCATTTGTATGTGAGTAGACGGGCGTGGGTCTTCCGACGAGAATGTTTACTTAACGAAAAATAATTTTTTCAACACAATTTTTAAGAATCAGAACCCGTCAAGTAAATATCTTTTTATAAAAAAAAATTAAATGTTTTTAGAATTTAGTGAGGATTAAAAATGTCTTCTTGTAAACATTTTTCGTTTGGTCTCTCTTACAACACACTCTTCTTTAATTTCTTCATTTAGAGTACTGCCGCTCATTTCTATTATCTGTTGTGGAAAATGTCGCCAAGATAAATAAGAGAGCTATATATATTAAATTTTGGTAAAAGCTTTACGAAAAGGAATACCCTAGTGCATGCCTACAATCTTTGTACACACAGATCAATATGTTAAGAGTCAGCAAAGGTGATTTGCAAAAGCAATCTTTTTTGCAAGTTTACCAAACTTCGTATCGAAATTACTTGTATTGTCAATAAGCCTACAATAGTTGTAGAAACTACAAAAACCTTACGTTATAAATGCAGGACTACACACTTTTGCCGAACACTGTACTCTATATGAAATCGAAAGAGTAATCGCATAAAGTGGATAAAGATCAGAAGGTCGCAAATGGGTTTGTTGTAAAATGTTTATAACATTGCTTACTTTCTTTTTATATACTAATGTTGTAAAAATATACACATACATATGTTCAAATTTGTATTTTTTTTTTGCTTCCCAAGTTATGCTTTGAAAAAGTGAGCAGCACAACAATGATAATAAAAAATCGGCGTTTTTATCTATTAAAAAAAATAATGAAGGAATTTTTCATTGACATTTATATACAGAAAAATTCCGGCATAATTTTCTTTGATGAGGCGTTTGATGCGTTTCGAAAGGATGTTTTGGAGAGACCTCAATCAAAGTGGCAAAAGTCATTCGACAATTGGTTCGAACGCCTGAAAAAGTGTATAGATTTAAATGAAATTATTTTGAAAAAATGCTAAGCGGATTTTTTATATATTTTTTGAGGCCAAGACCATCCTATTTTCATTCTTTTTACTAACAATTATTTTAATTGAATTTTTACAGCCATAAAACGTCTACTTTAATATTTAGATTTTAGATGAGACTGGCCTTAGCAGAAAGTATGTATGTAGTTGTTTACATATTTCAATTCAAGAAAAAAAAAACCTTTAAATGCAATGTTGTATCAGGTGTACAACTCTGCTTCCGCCGTTTTCTGATAGGTGGCTGTACCGGCTGACAATTCGAAAAAAATGCAGCTGAAGCGCATTGAATGCTCTCAGAAACCTACGGTGATGCTGCTCTGAGTCAAAGAACGTATCGGGAGTGGTGTCAACGTTTTAAAAATGGTGATTTCGATGTAGAAGACAAACATGGTGGTAGAAAAGGAAAAACCTTCAAAGATTTACTACGAGCTCTTAAAACGGGGTGAAACCATCACAGGAGATCGCTACCGAACGCAACTGATGCGCCTTGGTCGCGCGCAAAACGAAGTCATCCTCCAACACGACAATGCTCGGCCTCACGTCGTAAAAGTGGTCAAAAAGTATCTGGAAGCGCTGAAATGGGAAGTCTTGCCATACCCGCCGTATTCCCCAGATGTCGCCCCTTCTGACTTCCACCTATTCCGTTCGATGGCACACGGCCTGGCAGATCAACATTTTCAATCCTTCGAAGAATTGGAAAAATGGATTGCTTCATGGTTAACTGCAAAAGAGGACTCCTTTTTTCGAGCCGGGATCCGAAAATTGCCGGAAAGATGGGAGAAAGTTGTCGCTAGCGAAGGACAATACTTTGAATAATATTTTATATCTGTAAGCACTTTTTCGCAATAAAGCTTTTAATTTAGGATAAAAAACGGCGGAAACAAAGTTGTAAACCTAATAAATTTATGGATGTGCGAGACTGACGCACGTTGGCATTAACAAAATATGGAAAATATAATATATATTATTGGCACTTTGTAACCGTTGAAGCGATTTCCCGTAGAGCTCCTCCTTTAATTGGTGGTTTTGCGTCTTGATGCTTTCCCAACAAATGGAGGGAGTTACAGCTTAAACTAAGCCGCCTACGAACGGCTGATAGTTTTTTTATGAGGAGCTTTAATTCATATCAGAAATACACTCATAGGGGTTGCCATTCCCCGACGAGGGGCGACTGCAATTAGAAAATTTAACTTAATATTGTAAAAAGCAAAAACAAATAACAGTTACACCTGCCGTCATTGGTTTTTAACTACCCTTACACTTAAGCAGTCATAACATATCGCTCATGGTACTTTTATGTTGGTCATGATTATTTTTTAATGTGTTCGTTTACGCGAGTTGTCTGCAATGTGAGGGAGTTCAGCTTTATTGTTCTTGACTTAACATTGTAGGCTGCAGTTAAACAGCTGTGACAGTATTTGTTGTAGGTAGCTTGTAGAGGGTGATTGTCAGGATAGCTACTTTCTGAAAGATTTCTCTCTTGGTTATCTTAGCTGTTGTTTTGTTATGTTTTACAATTTCTTTCTTTTGACACATTCTGTTGCAAGCTCGTGCGAGGTGCACTCTGCACAGCCATTATACCTACATAAAACAATGTCGCTGTCATTGCTTGCGCGCTTGGGGAGTCACTGCTTTGGTGCAGAAAGCATGGGAAGTGGCTAAGAGCGTTGAGTGGGCGTACTTGTGTTGATAGATTTATGAGCTATTCGCTTGAGAAGCAGGAAAAAATGTTTAAAAAGTTACAAAATTAATGAAATGTATAAATTTTTGTGTAAAAATCTAATATTGTATTTATTAGATAGAATGAAAGCAGCCTCTCTTGAGCTCCCATATTGCTTAAGCATTCTGCTTTAGTCTTTATTGAAAGTAATTTGAGCTCTTTTAATTAAGGCTTTAAGCATTCGATCAAGGGTGTAGGGTGGAGAGTACGAACTTCGACAAAGGCCTAGTATTGGCGCGATTTTGATCTTATTCAATTCGTGTTCACATTAGAAAACTATTAAATAGTTTCTTAGGTATAAGTTTTTGGCTCAAAAGTGAGTAGTGCCTTCGATATTTTTGAACTTGGTGCCATTGTACCCATTTAGTTTAGCCTCCGTACCTGCAATCATTCCTTACTCATGTCGTCATGTAGACATACGAACGGAAAGACAGACGATCGAACACACAGATTGGGTATATACCAGAGTATAAATTGGATTAAATAAAATTAAACCAAATATTTTAAAAAAGCTTTTATGGAATAACTGCATATAAATTTGAAGTTAATTTAAAATATTACGTAATACGTAGGGCCCATATAACCAATAACAAAAATCATGGATGAATTCGTATATATCAAAGTTCCTGAGGGTACTATGCTGCCATATTCTGAGGTTAATATACCGTTAAGTGGGTATATCAGCAGAATAATGACCCGAAGCACACCAGAAAGCGCACAAGGTGGTGGGTTCAGCAAAACCATATCGAAATGATGAATCGGCCGGCTCAGGCTTCGGATGTCAATCCTATTGGGAATCTGTGGGGAAATATACACAATTTTATAGATTCATCAAAACCTAAGATAAGTAGGGAGTTATGGAAGAAATACATGAGGATTGGTATTCAAGGTGTCAAAGCTTAGTCGACTGTATGCAACGTGGATACTTCGTAGTAATAAAAAATTCACTTTAATGAATTTAATATAAGAACTCTATTTTAAGCCACATTTTTTTAAGCTTCTTTCTTATACTTGAAATTTTTGCTAATTTTTGTGAACAATCAACATTTTCCTATTCTTTTTGTAAAATTAATATAAAATAACAATACTCATATATAACTGCCTTAAAGTTAAAGTAGTACTTTAAGTTGTCGTTAGCTTCCCATAAATTTAATTGCAAACCAATAATATGCAGGGAAAATATTAACGGTTTTTCCAATTCAAGAAGCCGGCTGCTATTGTTCTGAACACAACTGTATATATAAAGGCCTTGTCCTAAATGTCTGACAAATCAACCCACGGACCAAACCACTGATCATAGAGACCTGAAAGTAGGATTTCGAATTGGATGAAATTTGCTACAGAGATATCCTTTTACCCAAACATTCCATTTTTTACCGCAAAGTGACCATGGAATCGACTAAATAGTTTGGTGAAGAACTTTTCTTTTCGGAACTTTGCCCCAGACAGATATATTTGGAAAAATCGTACTTATTCTTCGATTTGCTTGATATCTGGAACGTAGATAGCTTTTTTTTTTTGTCTATCTCAATTTACGCATAAATATCTCCCGGGATGTATGTGTTCGGTATATTCTGATATTTGGAAATTCGCCTTAGTTTATATGCGGGGAAGTTCATTGTCATTTCTTACAGACTGCGAAGGAAATCGACACCTACGAAGCACTTCCTTTTTAAAGAATTATTTTCAGTAACATTTTAATTTTTTAATGGCTTTCCGAATTTAGGTTTTGTTAGAATTTTCGGCATAAGGAGCAAAACGATCCTTTTAGGAGAGAGTTACGTAACCCAAATACACAATAAAATATGTTGTAATGAAATTTTATTAACTCATTATTTCCCAGATCAGGAACACTTGAAAAGGCTAAGTTAAGCTGAATTTTGGAATCCGACCTGAATGTAGTTGTAGCATTGCGGTCACTCCTCGGCAAGGAATATGTTTCTGACATTAAAAAAAGCTCTTCATAAAAAACCATCAGCCGCTCGAAGATAGCTTAGTTTAAGCTGTAGTACCTTCCATTTGCTGGTAAAAATATGAAGACTCAAAAACCACAAACTGGAGGAGGAGCCCGGCCGAAAAACGCTTCAGCGCTTAAAAGGCGCCAATTATATATACATATATATAAATATATAATGACCTTTCTTGAATCATTGGAGAATTCCAGAATTGGCACCTACAATACGACCATTTTGCTTATTTACGTTTCTCCGAGTGTGAAATGTGCCTCGACGCTGAAGGCGAAATGTGCAGCGTTGTGAATGGTCAGCTGGCTTCAGTTGTTGTCTAAGCTGGACTTCAAATGAATGTAGGTATGAATTTGATTGTGAAATTTGTTATAATGTGCACAGTTCTTCAGAAGGTTTGTGGAAAGAAAGAGTTCAGGTCTTCGGCTACACTTTGACTTACAGTATCGATATTTGTGGGGGAACAAACAAAACGATGAGGCATAGGCCTCACATTATCTGTAGTCGATACGGTTTTTTAAATTTTACCAATTGCTTCAGAAATCGGACGAATATGTGCACTATAATCTTCTCTTAAAGCAGGTACCAAAGCAACATTTGAAACACTACTTTTGTAATAATTTTTAACAATTTTAACGCGCGCGCTGTTATTTATTTACATAAAGCGTTACCTTCAAAAAAAAATATGTTTGGTTTAACAGTTAAGTCTGACATATATCAAAATGCAGCCCTGCACCCTTAAAACCACGAAATGGATAACCTTCTATAAATCTCCATTATAGCGAAGAAAAATCCAAATAGTTTAACGATAGGGATTCTCAAAATTGTATTTATTTTTTTTTAATCTAAAATTTTAATGACATAAGAATAGAGATCGGTCTTAAACAATAAAAAGTATTTTTGAAAATTCATTAACGATTTCGCTTATTAGTAGCATTCTTTACTCTATAAAGAGTTAATAAAAGTACAAAAAAAAAAACAACAACAACAACAATTTTTTAGTAATCTGTCATATATACTCACATTCATTAAACACTCATTTCATCAGCCACTCTTTATACCAACCAATTATAGCCACATTACGCCGGATTATTATGTCAGTTTCGAAGTCAGTGCAGAGCACATATTGTACATACGTGAAGTGAATAAAAGATGGATTGCAGACATGATATCAGTATGTTGTCAGTAATGTTTCACTCTAGCTCACAATCTTTTTCTTTTGCCGCTATACAAAGTTCACGAAGTTGTGCACGGCTTGTGTAGCGAGTGCTCATCATTAATCAAAACGGAAGTAGACATAAAAAGTCGCTTAGAGTTCATCAAGTGTTAGGCATTAAAGCGCGAATATTTCTGAGTTCTAAGAAAAACTGATAAATTGATAGAATTTTCAAGTAGGCAGCATAGAACTTCTTGCTTGAGATAAACCATCAAAACAAAAAAACCATCAACACAAAAAAGTGGTGAAAAAGATTTTTTAATGTGACAAATGAATGCGTACGAAAGTAGTTGGGAGAGTACTTATAGCGGTATATTAGTAGTGAATAATTTTTAAAGATTATGAATAATAAATTTTTTGACTTCTCTTGCTAACGAATATTGGATTTTATAATAGAGATACTCGCATTTCTATACCCTTGCTTTAAGCAAATATTTCGTGTCCAGTGAGTGAGTTTCGTTGTTAATTATTCTTAGTAAGTGAATTGGCTTCTAAAAGATTATTTTATTCTCCATTGCCATAAACACCGCTAATGATATTTTGATCTAGTTAACAAGAGCGCGCTATTCTTTGCTTCTTTTCGCTATTTGGCAACAATGGGAAATACCATGGACAGCCAAGTCTTTCTCCACCTTATCCTTCCAACGGAATTGTAGAGTTCCTCTTTCTCTGCTCCCATCTATGTTTCATCGACAACTTTCAAACCTGGAGTATTCGCATCCATCCGGACCACATGACCTAGCCAGCGCAGCTGCTGTTTGTTGATTCACAAACTCCTAATGCCAACTCATCAGTTGTTGTCATCTTCATCGGGAACGTTGAGCGACTTTTCAATTGATTGCGTGATTCTGCATTGGATTGCAATGCTGATATTATTATTGGTGTTAAACCAAATTTTCCAATTGCGGTCGACCCCCGGCAGGAGATGTCAACCGAACCCATCAGTGTATTTATGACGTGAAATTATGAATCCTTATAAAAACCAGCAACCGTTCGGAGGCGGCTCAGTATATACTGTTGGTCTCACAATTTGTAGGAAAAACATCAAGATGCAAAACCACAAATTGGAGGAGGAGCTCGGCCGCAACATCACTTCAGCGGTTACAAAGCGCCAAATTTTATATAAATATATAATGCTGCTCCCTAGATAGACGAAATTATCTACGAAATCGATCTTATGTCTGTCAATAGTGACGTGAAAACCAAGCCGCGAATGCGTTGACTACTTGTTTGATTTGATTTTTTTGTCCTCCTTCACTACTAGAGCCATACGGGTTGCTTCTATATCAAGTCTGGAGAAGACAGAGCTCAAGGCCAATAACATTAGCACACCTCAACAGCTGTCGAAGGGTTATTTAAAATCAATGAAGGTGTATGATGATCTTCTTTTCACGAGTCTTTTCCAAAAATTGGGGCATGGTAAAAAGCTGTATGTCTAAAGATTTACGTTAGGCTTTCACTCAATACGCTCGAGAAAATCTTCGATCCGACTTTAAGGAGGCCTGGACTAGTGCATTCGCTATAAAATTACCTTCAATGTCTATGAATCAGGATACTCAGTAGCAGTAAAGAGGGTTGGTCATCCTAAGTATGTGCATTCTTGTAATACGCTGCTACAATCGAATCTGTGGTAGCTCTGTTGACTATCTACATATATATGTGTACGTAATTTTTCT